TTGCATCGAGCATTTTTGGGAGCCGCAAACCCTTCCCGCGCGCTTAAAATCACTATTTACGTTTGCGTGCATGATCGTTTTAGCACACAACACCATTTAGGGTCAAATGAACACTTAGTGCAAAGTTGTTTATTCTTTTTTTTTCATCGCTTTTGACCTAAATTGATTTAGGGGTATTTTGGAATTCCCTTTGAAGATTTAAATCCAGCCTTGAAATGGTCACATAGAAAACGTGATTTTAGGAGGGTTTCTTCACAACATTTTTCCAGAAAATGTCGTTTCGGTCTCGAAAACCCCGCGTCAAATCTGATTTTCTGGTGCGCACATGCATTTTCAGAAAAGTATGTTTTAAGGGTATTTTGGGGATTTCATGTCAAGAATAAATTTTTCTTTCAACATAGTCCGCTTGGAAAAATTATTTCAAGGGGGGTTTCTTCTTCGTGTTTTTTCAAAAAACGTCGTCTAGTGCCTCAAAACGACACACGATTTTCACCATTTTGCCCAGTTCACTGCTGGCAAAACACTATTCATTGCTGTCAAAACACTATTCACGACCGCAGCAACGTCAAAACTTTGTTTTGACTTTTCTCTTCCATCCGGACTCCGAATCAAGTAATTTTTTAGTCTAACTTGATTAATTTTTCGTCATCTTTCCAATGGTGTGCACAGTAGCACCAAATCTTGTAGGAAATTACCATTTTGCCCTTAGGGCTAAACTTATCCGTTTTTGAAACGTCGCTTCCGCTTGTTTTCCTTTTGTTTCTGTGGCTTCATGAGAAGTCATGATTGTGTCTTAGGGATGATGTACATTTCTAGAGACGTTTCCATGTAAAAAGACCATTTTGCCCTTGAGGGCTTATTCGGTCTTTTTTCGATCTTTTTCTTCTGCGTCAGTTCTCGTGGAGTTTCGTGGCCTCATGGAAGGTCACTTTGGCGTCCTATGGATGTTGTATATCCCTAGAGACCTTATTTATGTTTTCGCTTCCGCATTTTGGGAAAGAAGCGGAATGGATGACCTAAGCGAGGATAGAAAGGAGGACCTCCTCAACGACCACGTTATGTAGCTTTCAACCTCTTTCTACCCATCTGCAATGGTTTGCCATATGGACTCTTTCCTCAATCGTTTTTCAGCATCAATCTCCTCAATAACAACGAAAAGCAAATCAAACCTTGATCACATTCAGAACAGCTATTTGAATCACAACCTACATGCACTAAGAGGGCAAAACAACCCATTGACTCACCTCAGGACCAAGAAGTCTCCCTCGATCCAGGTAATTCCTCAATTGACATTGATACTCCTGATTCTTTTCCCAATAGTATTCATGTTGATCTTGATATCCCAATTGCCTATCGTAAGGGTGTTCATAGTTGTACAAAACATCCCATATCTCAATTTGTATCCTATGATGCCTTATCTCCAACATATTGTGCTTTAACTTCGTGTATCTCCTTTGTATCTGTTCCTTTTAGTGTTTCAGATGCTCTCAGTCAAACTCCATGTAAGGAAGCCATGCTTAAAGAGATGAAGGCCCTTGAGAAGAATGGTACTTGGGATATTGATCCATTACCTACGGGTAAGAAACCTGTAGGCTGCAAATGGGTCTACATAATTAAAGTATCATGAACAATTAAGAGATATAAAGCCTGGTTAGTTACAAAGGGCTTCACTCAGACTTATGGGATTGATTATCTGGAAACATTTGCTCCAATTGCCAATATGAGCTCTATACGGGTCCTCCTTTCTTTGGCGGCTAATATGAATTGGCCTTTACATCAGCTGGATGTAAAGAATACTTTCATGGAGGAAGAGGTGTATATGACTATGCCACCAGGGTTAAAGTTTGCCAATGGTCAGAATTTAGTGTGCAGGCTAAATAAAGCCCTGCATGGGTTAAAGCAGTCGCCACGTACTTGGTTTGAGAGGTTCAACACTTCTATGAAAAGAGTAAGGTACACACAGAGTCAGGCAGATCATATTCTCTTCATCAAGAATCAGAAGGGTTGCACCACTGCCCTTATTGTATATGTTGATGATATTGTTATCAATGGAAATGATCGAGAAGAGATTCATCGAATGAAGTCATTCTTGGGACAGAGTTCAAGGTTAAAGACCTCAAATCATTAAGATACTTTCTTGGCATCGAGGTGTGCAGATCGAAGAAAGGGGTGTTCATTTCTCAACGGAAGTATGTGTTAGATTTGTTGGCTAAAACAGGCAAGTTTGGAGCTAGACCTATTGATATTCCCATTGAGCATAACCATACGCTTGATGATGTAGATGGAGACCCATTAAATGATGTGGGAAGATTTTAGCGATTGGTTGCGAGATAGATTTACGTATCTCTCACACGCCCAGATATTGCTTACGCTGTTAGTGTGATTAGTCAATTTATGCATGCTTTACGTCATCTCACCTTGAGGCAGCTCATCATGTTCATCGCTACCTCAAGGGTTCACCTGGTAAGGGGATATTGTTTGGCCGTCATGGCCACTTGCATGTTGAAACCTATACTGATGTTGATTGGGCGGGGTCTGTGACAGATCGACGATATACTTCATAACATTGCACATTTGTTGGAGGTAATCTTGTTTCATGGCGAAACAAGAAACAGTTTGTAGTAGTCTGAGTTCAGATCCATGGCACATGGAGTTTGTGAGTTGTTATAGCTACAAACAATGTTGGGTGAGTTGGGTTATCCTGTTCGCGAATCAATGAAGTTGTATTGTGACAGCAAGCCTGCTATTAGTATTGCCCACAATCCAGTTCAACATAACTGGACAAAGCACATTGAAGTCTATCGACACTTTATCAAGGAAAAGCTCCGTGGGCTGATTTGTACTTCATACGTCAACACACATGATCACGTTGCTGATATTTTGACTAAGGGTGTGAGCAAGACTTGCTTGAAAAATATGTTAGTCAAGATGGGCGTGATAGATATCTTTGCACCAGCTTGAGGGGGAGTGTTGTCAAGGGCTTATTTGTCATTACTTATATAATGTTGGGGTTTTGTTTAATTTCTAAAACTTCTTCTTATAAATATAATGTGCTGGAAGGATGAAAGTATTCTTTCATTCTCTCTCTTTCCCCATCTCTATCTCTCTCTCTCTCTCTCTCTCTCTCTTTCTCTGATGCTCTTTCTTCTCTTTTTCTTCTTCTTATACTTTACTCTTTGATTTGATTATCTCTTAAAGTCAACAAACTATTCTATTGTATTCTCTATATTTTGTTGGGTAATAAGGAGAAATTATATATCTTTGGAGGAGATTGTTGATTTTTTGGGCTCCTTGAGCTGTTAGGGCATTTGCCTTTTGCCCTTGTGTAGTTTTTTGGGATGCGCTCCCCTTTTGAGCTCTTTTTATACATTATTACTTATCAAAAAAAAGACCATACTTTTTCAAAAGGTTACGCAAAACCTCAAGGGAGGCTGACGATACTTTTTCTAAAGGTTTCATCCGTGGATAATTTAGCCAAACCTTATTAGATTTCACGTCCTAAAATGAAACTCAATTCAAGGTGGAAGTAAATGGGCAAATTAAGAAAGGCTCAGCGATCAGATTGAAAGCTGCAACATCAGAGTAAGTCCTTGTCGATTAGATTTATACCACCAATTGTCTACTTTTTGATCCACACAACTAATGCTACAAGCACGATCACCACTGATGCGTAAAAATTCAAGTTTCACAAGGAGATTGGTGACAAATGTTTGGTCTCCGTAATTAAAAGAAACTGGAGTATAGGCATATCACGTTGATTAACTTCATTTTGTTAGTAAAAGTTGGTGATCAGCCATTAAATTAAACAAATTTATAGGAGTGCTGTTGTAGGAAATTATAAGCTAGACATAATGCATTGGGGACCCGAGGTCCACCTTTCCTCATAATTGTCTATGAAGACTGTATGGAAAAGTTGGTCATCATTTATATGTGGGGTATATTCTCTGGTTGGCAATCAATCTGCAGAAGGACTTTCAAGATGGTCTGGTTGGGTCGAATTCCTCCATAAATGGCTGATTAACATAGCATATCAACCAACAAGGAAGGACGTGAAACTCTCTCAAACAGAGAAGGGGATCGCATGGTCAGCCAAATTTAAGAAAAATCTTCCCTATAGAGGTGACAGATATATTGGAGAGTATGTTCCAAAGTTCATATAGCTTGAGAATGGGTCCAACAAATGTAGATGTTATAATGTCAGTTCTGCTACGCGTAACCTTCATTTATAACTCAGAAAGAGCAAGGAAGTTGAGAAATAAAAAAAAAATCGTACCGGAGAAAAAAATCCAGTCTCGAGCATTTTAAAACACTTATTCTACCCTTCCCATGATATTTTTGAAAACCAAATTCTACAATATTCCTAGTCGCATGCTTCCTCTTGTCCTCACTCCTAAGTGAATATTGGTGTACTCTTTTCCCTCAAGTTCCAGTTGAAGTCATCAGGCTCAGCACCTTTCAAAGTGGAATTTTTGCTTGGTCATCCATTTTGGATAAGATCCAGGTTGGCTTTAATCTTCTTTTCTTCAATAGCGCCAGGGTGTTCACGGCCCAAGCCAGTTGATAATCTCATGCTCATAACAAGTGGACAATTTCAAATAGATACTTGCTTACTACTGCACATATGAGATGGTCAGTCATTGCCTCATTCCATCCCCCTTTCTCATCCAATGTTTGGCATTGGTTCTTGAGGACCTTCAGGATTATTGAGTTATGCTCTTACTAAAATAATAGTTTGGGGAGGGTCAGAGGGTGTGGCGTTCCATTGAAAGCAAAATTTATTCATTATGTTCAATTAATTGGTTTGCTGGGAAGAAAGGAACAGGAGAATCTTTGATGGTTCTTAATCAAGTAGCTTTCTGGTGTCCTTGATCAATATAATTCAGTCAAGAATCCACGCCTGGCTGCTGGCCTAGTTTACATGCATCAACTGAAGGTCCTTTTAGACTAAGAAATTTGTCATATGATATAATCCAATAACTGGATGAAAAAAAAAAAAAAACCTGCAACACTTGATGAATCCTCCACCATGCGTCCTCCGCCAAGCGCCCCTCCAGACACATGAAGCCGTGCATTAACAAAAACCTGGAGAAGTAAAATATATGTAAATTATTGATTTCTAAGTATATGAAAGAGGCCAGCTAAAAGAAAAATTAAGTAGAAAACCCACTGCTGCATGCTGATATCTAGGAGATGGAGAGACACCAGGAGCAATAGCCCATTCCCAACGACCATCTCTATGTTTAGCAAGTCCATATGCACTTGGCAATGGCTGCAAAAATCATTTACAGAGTATGAACCAAGTCAATCATTTATGACACTAAAGCTGGTTTATGTTAACTCACAAAATGAGAACATCACATAGAAAAATTACGTCATACATAAAATATAGTAAACTATAGGACAGTCTCTTGGGGGAAGATTTTGACTATTGATAATCTAAGGCGGAGGCGGCAAATCATATTCAATTGGAGTAGCATGTGTAAGAGAGATGAGGAGTCTATGGATCATCTTCTCTTGCATTGTTCTTTGGCCAGAGACGTGTGGAGCTTGATTCTTCTTGTACTTGGTGTTCAGTGGGTTATGTCGGAGTCCACTAAGCATGCTCTTGAAGCTTGGAGGGCATTCTTAGTGGGAGCTCATGCTAGGTAGGCATGAAGGGTAGCTCCTCTTTATATTTGGTGCAGCATTTGGAGGGAGAGAAATAGGAGAGGCTTCGATGGCAAGGCGGCTCCTATTTGGGCGCTGAAATTATATATTCTTTTGGGTATATGGTAATAGTTGTTGTTTGGCTCACGAAAAATAAGGTTCCTTTCCAGGTGAATGGAAAGGAAGGAGTTGCGGGCGTGCCAGGAACTGCTATCGTTCCAAAGTGGAGCTCCAAACAATATTCCAATGGGAAGTTGCCGGGATCAGGCGATTGTATGAATGACTGGAATGACCACATTGAAAGGTTCTTTTTGCCTTGAAAAAGGACTTCGGGATTGTTCTAGCTAGTGGAAAGAAGGATGGTATTGAAAGTACAGGACTTGCAATTAGAAGAGCTATGAACTACTTGCTGGAAAGTAGGAAAAGAAAGTGCTGAACTTGTATTAGAAATGATTGAAATACATTACTGGAATGTAAGATACATGAAATGAAATTGATAAGCAAAGATGATGTATTGTTGTGTGTGTTGAACAGGATTTGTATTCTAGGCCTAAGTGCTCTATTTATAGAGCTCTTCTATGCAGCAGTTGAAGGTGGCAGTTCTAGCAGCTTCCACTTGGCTTGTCCATGGACTGCCAAGTGTCCCATGTCCTTGGCAGTTACTTCTGACTTGCACCCACCTTCTTCCATCTTCTTGCCCTTCTTGATTTCTTCTCAATCCACCACTTCAACCAAATCCCTTGAAGTCTTCACGATTCTGAGTGGTGGACGGTTTTGGTTCTGATTGAGGCTGAACATTCCAACTGCCCTTTCTATATGACTCCAAGTGTCCCACGTTGTGCTTCTTCTTCCTCAACGTGCATGGACTCTTCTTCTTTGTTTCAGCCACATCATGCCAGCATTCCAGCCATGTTGTCCATGATCCCAAGTAGTTATATGGAAAGATTTCAATCTTCATCTGATGTGCTGGCATACAGCCAAGTGTCCCACGTTGTTGATGGTTCCCTTCTTTACACAGAGTTCTCCTTCCACATAATTATGAATGATTATGCATATATGTGTCTGTTATAAGCATGTTCTCCTTGATTTTAGCAACTTCTTTTCTGAACTTTCCTTTTGGTACGCTTCTAGGGCATCCATGTTCCATGATTTCAGCGATTTCTCTTCTGAATGTATACATTACGTACATATATACATATGTATATATATACACATAGAATTATACACTTTCCTATTCTTAGAAGCTTTGTTTTGACTTGGCCTGGAGTTTTGATAACCTCAGATATAGTGGCTGAATGGCTTGTTTGGAATTCCCTATAAAATAGAAGAAAACTTAGCACCATATTCCAACCTTTTTTTGTTTACTAAGTCAACCCTCTTTGCGAAATCTTAGGGGTTGCCATATGGCAATTGTATACCATATAGACTCGAACTATTCTGAAACCACACGGCAGCATCTGAATGGCTCCTTTCCAAAACTTTGATCTCAAGAGTTTTAATAAAATATGGCAAGTTCCATGGAACTCACCAAATATTATTTTCTTATTGGCCTAGACAACATTATTTCCTTAATCTTATCCCACAAATTCCATGTGTCGATGGTTGAGTCGTTTCCATGTGTCATATGGTTGCATGTACAACAATATCTCCATGCAATCTTTTCTTTCTAGATCATTGGGAATTTGTGGAAATTGATCCAGTATGGCAAGTCTTATGAGGCTCACCATATTCTTGATTTAATAGAATCCATCTGGCGGAATATGATTAGCTTAATTGATCTTTGCCTTGGATTGCTACATTAAGTCACATATGTGTTTTAATGCTTCAATATGACCTTCCTTTCCAAGCTTGCCGGGATTGTGATCTAGTGTGGCAAGTTCCATTGGAACTCACCACATGCTTCCTTCTTATTGGTAGATAATCCCTCTCTTGAGTCTCTCTTGAGTCTATATGGCAATATGGTGTTAAGTCAACGTTGATGTCTCATGATGCCCATAATATAATTCCCTTTTCAAATAATTAGGCAATAATCCGGTAAGGCAAGTTCGCTAGAACTCACCACATGTCGTCTTTCCATTTGTCCAAAAATAATGGGATAAACGCTTGTAAACCAATGGGGGGAATTAGTAGATTTTGTGAATAGCTTGAAAGTTTAGCTGCTTCTTGGGCCTTTGTGCAGTTGTTCCGGGATTCGCTCCCCTCTTGAGCACTCTTTAATGAATTTACTTATATAAAAAATGGGACAGTGTTCATGACCAATACAACGCTACAATGTTTTTTTTCTTTTTTTTAGAGGAAACAACAGATTATATTAAAAATCCATAATCATGTACAAAGGTGGAATGAGAAAAAACCAGAAAGCAGCAGGACAAAAACAACTTGGGGATGCTTAATAAGGGGGATGGTGATTATAAGTACAACTCAAGATCAAGGGACAATACCCATTCATTGCCCAACATATAAATCCAATAAAAGAAACCGTGCATAGTTGCCAAGACATTTCTAATCAAGTGATTACACCAACAAGAAACCTTTCCAATTTTTTTTACCAAGCAATTCAACTTCAAGAGACAGCTAACAACCAAAGAGACTGGCTCTAAACAACCATCAAGCACACTCAAGGATCTTCGATCTTAATAGCAATTCATTTACTTAGCCAGCACCAAATATTTTAGCTTAATATTTTCCATGATCTTCAGGAATGCCACCCACTGTAATGCCAGATTACAGAGAACAACCATCAATCTTTAGTTGACTTCCCAAAGCTTTCCATAAAACCAGGGTTAAGCCTAAGAACTATAATACGAAGAAGCCAACTAATCTCTCATAAGAGGAACCTTAAGCTTCTACATAACCAAAAGCCACAAGGATGCCAACAATGTTGAATTATCTCACAAACTTCATATTCAAGTTCTAACCTTTTAAAATACATTACTGTTTGTGGTGTTGAATATAAACCTCATTATCTGAGAGCGAGAGCGAGAGAGAGAGAGAGAGAGAGAGAGAGCAAACCTTCCAGTGGTACGCAATATTGTCCTGTGATATGGAGGGAATTGCTAATAAATCCCAAAATCAACTTCTTATAATCATCGATTTAGCCCCTCGTAAATTTAAAAATGAAAAGAAATCCATCTAACTGACGTTGGTAGCATTACTTCGATGAATCAACTTAATTTAAATAAGTGTGTCATATAATAACATTAACCAAAATTTGGGAATTTTACCTGAGCTTGACTATGAACAAAAAAAAAGTAGAGTGCAAGAATCATGGAATGTGATTATGGCACACAGAAAAAAAAAATTCCCAAAGCCAAATGAGAATTTCCTTCAGCATGCATTCAGCTCAGCAATTCATTCCAATTAGTAGGGCATGCATACTAATCAAGGTTGTTAGGATCGGGATTTTACGTAGGATTCATGAGGGGTTCATAGGATCGGAATTGTAGGATCGGATCGAGAGTCATAAGATTCTATAAAATTATTAGAAAAGAACTCAAAACTTTCTAAATCAAATAATTTCGATTTAAGTAGAGAATAAGGCTAAATAAATAAATGAGATGCTCTAGCAAAATCAATTAACATTAAAAGATACTAAGACACATGATAAACACTTAAAATCAATTTCTTGATTTCAACAAAAACATCAGCCAATCAAGCAGAATCACAAAGAAATTAAAGCAAATCCTAAACGAATAGAAAAAGGGAATAGAGAAAGTAGAGAGAGAAAAGTACAATTTAGTTGCCTAATTGTCTTTAGTTGCTTAATTGTCTCAGTAATTTAGTTGAAAAGTTTACTTTTTGGTTTTTTTTTTTTTTTTAATTAAAAAAAAAAAAAAGGAATAAAAAAAATAGAGGAAATTAAGAAAGAAGAAAATATAAATTAAGAAGATTAAAACAAAATAAAGGAAAATTTTGAAATTTTCAACCATACCTTTGAAATTCAGAGTTCGTTTGTCTCTACATTTGGCGTTGGGTCTTTTTTTTTTTTTTAAATTGTTCAACATAATTAGGCTAAAGAGTTGGATTTTATATTTAAAATGATTAAATTTATTAGTCCAAAATGAATTGTAGGACCAAATAAATCCAAACAAAATAACACGATTTAGTAGACTCGGTAAGATCATGTGATCCTATGCGATTCTACGATGCTCCTTCTGATTTTACAAATCAATCTTCTACATCCAAACGAATTTTGGATCGGATCGGGGTCAGTTTGGCAATTTTAACAACTATGACACTAAATACCGCAAAGGTAATGCATCTCCTTCTTATAACAATTATAATTTTACTCCTTTTTGGTTTTTTTTTTTTTTTTTTTTTTTTTTTTTTTTTTTTTGGGTTGATAAATAAGACTATATTAGAAAGCATTCAAAAGGGGAACGCTTTGAATGCATCCCGGGCACTGTACAAGGAAGAAGCCAAAGAAAGGGTTTCCAAATGCACCACAAACACAAAAGGGAACTGCCCACCAAAAAGCACAAGCATGGGCTCCCACAAAACAGCCTCTACAAGAATCAATCAAACCCCTCGAAGTCCGAGATATAACCCAATGGACACCAAACAAACCAAAAATAAGCTCCAACAGTCGTGTGGCATAGGGCAATGTAAGAGAAGATGGTCCAC